TATGGTGCAGCCACGAAGGTCCAGAAGTGGGGGTGTATTTCTTGCCATGGAGAGATGCTCACGGAGCACTGTGGGAAGGAAAGAGCAGCTGCCGCTGGAAGCTTCTCTGGCAGCCCTGGGCCCACCTTCCCCTAGAGCAACGATTAAACATGCTCTCCAGTTTGCCATAGTCCCCGGCTGGCCTTACTGTGCCTCTCACCAAGCTCTGGGGCATTTTAGTTTGTCGGTAGGAGCCACGGGAGAGAGTCAAGCGGGGGACAAAGGCAGGGGCCACATCAGGCACACATGTTTTATTGGCCCGATGTCTAACTAGAGGACAGTCAGGCAGTTAAGCCCTGAATGGATGGAGGGAGGGACGGATGGGTGGATGGAAGAAAGGACAGAGAAAGACAGGGAAGGAGGGATGAATGCAGGGGTAGAGGGATGGAGAGACAGACGGATGGAGGGATGGATGGAGGGCTAGATAGACTGCCAAACCCCATCCCCACCCCTGCAAAGTCGGCTTTGCCCCAGGAGATGGTTTAGTGCAAGTTTGAATGATTCAAGGGTTTGGAATGAGACAGACTCAAACTTGAATTTGAGTCCCTTTCCTTACAAGCTGTGTGACCTTGGGCAAGTCACTCACCCCCTCTGATCCTCAGTTTTCCCATCAATAAAAAAATGCAGAGTAATAGCTCACAGCGCCTCACAGGACACACGTGGGGAGAGCACTTAGGGCCAGGTTTGAGGGAGGAGCCTCGGGGTGGGGGCAGTCCCTCGTTTCTATCTGTGCTGTTCCTGCCGCCCTCCCTGCCTGTCCCGGGAAAACAGGTCCGTCCCCGGGGAGACTCGGTGCTCCCCACCCCTCCAGTTCCGAGGAGCTCAGGATCTCATGGGTCCAACACCAGTAGCATCGCTTGCTTGCGGGTTCCAGGTGTGGGACAGGTGTCAGCGGCCAGTCGCACGGTCTGCACTCAGCGGTAGAAGCAGAAGGGCCTCGAAGCCCCGCCCAGAGCAATCGTTGTCATCGGGGCTCCAGTCCTGGCTGCGCCTCGGAACCTGCCTCTGGGGGCTTCTCCCTGCACGGGCCCCACCCGGGATCCCCGTCTCTGGGAGAAAGGCCTCGGTATGGCTATGTTTTCAAGAGCTTCTAGATGATTCTAGGGTAAAGTTTGGCCCAAGAACCACCGTGTTTAGTTCTTTTCAATATTTTTGTTTCCACCCGGCTGTTTTTTCTGCTTCTCTTTAGTTTCTTCAGAGATTGGAAAAGATTTTGCTCTCTATAGTTAGAGGAAGAATTCAAATTTGTTTCCTTTTTAGGGTCTTGATGGTTCAGTTTAAAAAATATTTTTTTGTGAATCCTCTTGGAGTACAGCTGGTTAGAGCAGGGAGATGGGGGCCCCCTTCTTTTTCCTTTGTGTGGCTCTAAAATCCTCCCTGAGTGTATATAGCATGGGGCTGGCTCTCGGTACAACTTAAACTGAATTCAAAGAATAACAGTGCAGGCGCACCTGGGGGGCTCCGTTGGTTTAGCTTCGACTCAGGTCATGATCTCAGGGTCTTGAGATTGAACCCTGCGTCAACACGGAGTCTGCTTGAGATTCTCTCTCTCCCTCTCTGCCCCTCCCCCCACTTGTGCGCGCTCTCTCTCTCTAAAATAAATAAATAAAATCTTTAAAAAAAAAAGAATAACACTAAGTGCAAATCAAAGCAAAAAAGTAAGATTCTACTTCACACCCTTAGAATAGCTGGAATGAAAATCCAGGTAATACCACATGCTGGTGGGTGTTGGTGGGTGTTGGTGGATATTGATAGGTTTGTGAGTGTTGTTGGATGTTGGTAAGTTGGTAGATGTTGGTAGGTGTTGGTCAGGTGTTGGTAGGTGTTGGTCAGTTGGTAGGTGTTGGTGGGTGTTGGTAGGTTGGTGGGTATTATTGGATGTTGGTAAGTTGGTATGTGTTGGTAGGTATTGGTAGGTGTTGGTAAATTGGTGGGTGTTGGTGGGTGTTAGTGGATGTTGGTGGGTGTTGGTAGGTGTTGGTAAGTTGGTGGGTGTTGGTGAGTGTTGGTGGGTGTTTGTGGGTATTAGTAGGTGTTGGTAAGTTGGTGGGTGTTGGTGAGTGTTGGTGGGCGTTGGTGGGTATTGGTAGGTGTTGGTAGATGTTGGTGGGTGTTGGTAAGTTGGTGGGTGTTGGTGGATGTTGGTGGATGTTAGTGGGTGTTGGTAGGTGTTGGTAAGTTGGTAGATGTTGGTGGGTGTTGGTAAGTTGCTGGGTGTTGGTGGAGGTTGTTGGATGTTGGTGGGTGTTGGTGGGTGTTGGTAGGTGTTGGTAAGTTGGTGGGTGTTGGTGGGTGAGAATGTGGAAGAGTTGGAAGTCTCCTGGTGGGAATGTCAGATGGAAAACAGCCTGGTCGGGCATCAGATGATTAAACATAGAGCTGCCATATGAAATTCCACCCCAGGTGTCTAACCGAGATAGTAAAAGAAAACATCCTCACACAGTCTCGTCCATGAGTGCTCACTGCAGCACTATTCATAGTAGCCAAAAAGTGGAAACAACCCAGATGTCCATCAGTTGAAAAATGGGTGAACAAATATGGTCTATCCACACAATAACTATATTATTTGGCCATAAAAAGGAATGAAGTTCTGATAGATGCTACAACACAGATGAACCTTGAGGACAAGGAGCTAAATAAAAGAAGCCTGTCGCGGGGGCTCACCTTGTGCGCTCCCATTCGCATGAAGTGTCCAGGAAAAGTGAGTCCATACAGACGGTGAGTGGTGTGGTGGTTGCCAGGGGCTGGGGCCGCAGGGGGCAGGGGGGCACTGGGGCCGGGGGTGCAGGGGGGCAAGGGGGTGCTGAGGGTTGGGGATGCTGGGGGCTGGGGGTGCAGGAAGCTGGGAACATGGGGGCAGGGGGCCGGGGGGCCTGAGGGCTGGGGGTGCAAAGGGGTGCCTGCTGCTCACCAGGCATACCTCATCAAGCAACTCTTCGGAAACCAACAAGGCAGTGGCTCTGGAAAAATGAGGAAAGACTGAAAGAATATTCCAGAAAAGAGCAACAGAAATCACCACAGGAAAACCCAGAACTCTGGGGGCCCTCCCTGCACTGATTTATATTTGCATGTCACTTCTGTGTTGGATAACATGTTGGATAGTCACCTCATCCTTCTCGTTGTTTGTACCCAAAGTCTCTGCTTGGCCGGCATCACTGGGTAGAGGTGGTGACCAGGGGCAGGATCAGCCCTCAACAGGGAGTGGGTTACTGTGTTGGGCTGTGTCCCCAGGTCATATAGGGAGGGAGGCGGCCAGCCTCAGAGCGCTCAGGAGGGGCCTCCACCCCTCTCCCAGGCCTCCATCCACACTCACCCCCAACCCCCAGCCTCTGGCTCTATGGCCTGGGGGTGGACACTGGGGCCAACTCCTCCCCCAACTATCAGGTATAACCCCTGGGGGTCAGGGGTCTAGGGGGTGGGTGCTAAGGAAAGGTGCCTTCAGGGAATTCAGGGCGGGTTGAGGGGCTGTGTCTGGCGAATATGAACTTTTTTTCTTACTTTATACTTTGAACGTGGTGCCACAAATGCATATTGCTTCTGTAATTATAAAAAAACAAAACAGATTAAAAATAAATATAATCTCACAGTAAAATGCTGGAAAGTTGCAGAAGTTGCCAAGTACAATGAGAAATTCCCTCCGATGCGGCCCCCGGGAGATAACATTTGTGTCTGTCCCTTCAGATTTCTCTCCTAGGACAGGGTGACACAGCCATAAATACTCTCTGGCGGGACCGCTCTGTTTTCTGCTCACCTTCGTAGAGCCCGGCCCCCTTGTCAGTTCTGCATTCCATGAACGATGCTAATATGTATCAGCACCTGCTGTGTACAGAATTTATTCTAGGCTCTGCCGATATGGCAAGGAGCAAAGTGGACAAATTCCTGTCCCTGTGGGGCTTCCCGTTTCCTGGGAGAGATGGACAATCTACAAGGAAACAAACAACCAAGATCATTACAGGAGACGCCTGGGGGGCTCAGTCGGTGAAGTGTCTGCCTTCGACTCAGGTCATGATCCCAGGGTCCTGGGATCCAGCCCTGCATCGGGCTCCCTGCTCAGAGGAGAGTCTGCTTCTCCCTCTCCCTCTGCCCTTCCTCCCTGCTCATGAGCTCTCTCTCAAATAAATTAATTAAAAAAAAAAACCCAATAACCAAGATCATTCCAGAACCAGAGAGGAGCTGGGAAGAAAATCACAAGGCCTTTGCACGAGCAGGTCCCTCTGCCCTGGAGCGTGCTTCCTACAGATGCTCATGTGGTGTGCCCATCCTTTGGCCATCTCCCGCCCCCTCCCCTCACTGTGCACCCTGCTCGCCTGCCTCCTCCAGAGCACCCATGGGGGGTGGGCGTCTCGGTGTGTTTCTTTGTTTGCTCATCTAATACCTGTCTCCCGCCTGGGACTGGGTGCTGGGGCGGATCGGGAGCGTGTCAGACCCATCTATGACCCAGCCACTGGGCCAGTGTGGGGCCCACAGCAGGGTGACTCGGTATACTTGCTGAACTTACGGATTCTAAAGAAGGTGAAGGAAATAATCTTCCAAGCTGAGAAGTCACCTGAGGCAGCATGGGGTGCGTCTTCAAGAGAAAGTTCTCAGGGGACATGGGTACCCTGACCCCAGGCTGGGGACCCGGCTGGCAGCTGACCTGGGAAAGGCCTGCAGGAGTCCAGGCCCCGGGGAAAGGAGCGGAGCTGCCTCATCTGGGGGCGGGGGGCCAAGCAGAAGTGACCCCCCCCGACTCTCCTGGGTGATCAGAGGCATCCATGGGAGTGTGGGATGTGGATGCCTCCCACCAGGTTCCTCTTGGGACAGCCTCGCTCTTCTCCGAGGGCATCTGCACTCAGTTTTGACCATATTTGCCTCAGAGCCAAGTGGCCAGCCGGTGGGGCCGTGGTATAAATATCAGTTTATTTACTCTGTGTCCCAGTAAAGCATGCTTCTGAGTAAGGAAAGGCTTCCCTGTTTTTTTTTGCATGAGTTTGGAAACACGGCCCTGGGGCAGGAGATAGTAGCCTGGGGCTCAGCTGCAGAAAGTTTTGCTGGAGGTTCTAAATCACATTCACCGGGCTGGCCTGGGGCTCTTCCTCCTAGGCCACCCTGATGCAGCTTCCCCACCAGAAAGGAAAACAGCAAATTCTCTGGGAGGTCGGACCTCCCACCTGCCCCCTCGTGTGGGGGTCTGCTGTGGGCATTTGCCAACTTCCTGTAAACTGTGCCCTTGTTTTCCTCTGGGGAACCCGCCCCGGGTCCCAGGTGGTTCCAGATCCTTCTGCCCCTTCTACAAATGCCCGAACGTCTCTTCTGTGCCAGGCACTGGGGGTGCAGCAGTAAAAACATGGGTGTGGCTACTGCCCTGACAGGAGCTCGCCTGATCAGGAACACAAGCAAAGAAATCACCGAGTTCCAAATTTGTGAAGGAAACAAACAGGTGAGTGGCTGGAGAAGAATCAGGAGGGTCCAGGTCAGAGGTGGGTCCAGCAGAAGGCTCACTGGACAGAAGTCATATACAGAGGAAACAGTGGGAAGAGCGTTCCAGAGGCGGTCACAGCACGTGCAAAGGCCCTGAGGTTGGATGTGCCCAGCCAGGCTGGAGGGCAGGGAGGCCTGCAAAGCAAGAGCGTAGTCTGGGAGCGGAGGTTGAGGTTGGCACAGTGGACAGGGAACTGGGTGGGGATGAATGCATTAAGCCACTCCCCCCAGCCCCCCACCAAAACAAAAACGGGCAGCTGGCGTGGCTTTAGCACAGCTTCCTGTGGGTTGGGAGCATGGGGCCTGACTAGGAGTGCTCCCTGGCATGCTTGTTCTCCCCCCGCCGCCCCGGCACCGTTCCCCCAGGACCTGTGCATTTGCAGTGATGGAGCCAGAGACCATGGCCAGCATGACTTCCGCTCTTGCTTCCGTCTGGCCTCCCAGAATAGCATTTGACACCTCCCTGAGGTCTCCACCTGCCACTCCTGGCTGTCTCCGCCCACCCTTCCTCCCCGAAGAGGAGGGGAAGCACTCCTGTTCTTTGGGGGGGGGGACGAGTTGTGGGGATGGTTGGCTTAGTGGGAAGGGAGGGGACAGATAGGTCCCACGGAGCGGCGAGCCCCATCAGCCCAGCCTCCTTTGCACCCGAGGCCAGTGGTTTCTCCGGCCTCCAGCTGCAGGGCGTCACCTCCCTGCTATGAACAGTGGTGGCATTTTCATCAGGATAGTTGCACAGCTTCTGTCTAGCAATGTATCGACTAGATGTCACAGAGGCGAGTCTGTCCCAAGCTGTCCCACACCCAGTACCCCCCTGGAAGCATCTGGCGCCTCCAGTTTGGACACACTTGCATTTTGCACGTCGGTCTATCTATTCTCGCCAAGGTCAAGTACGCATCTGCGCCCTGCGAGGCGCCCTTCCCTGAGATACGTCCTGAAGGGCTCCCACCCAGCACCCCCAGGGTTTGCTCTTGCCTCCTTGCCAGCTGTGGGGTGTCCAGGGTGGGGCATCTCTGTCGCCCGGCGCCCTGGGATGCAGGTGGAAGGGGGGGATGCATCACCTGGGACAAGCCGCCTGTGCCCGCGTCCGCCGTGGTCCGGTCGGTGAGCACCTGCTGGGACCTCACCTGCGCGCTCTTTCTCTGTCCCGGCTCAGCCCTGCCCGGCGGCCACATGGAAGGGCACATTTGGAGCCTAGGGGCCACACTTTTAAAATTCATTTTCCCAGTTCAGTGACCCAGCAGGAACCTGGCCCCCTCAGCCCCCAAAATGGTTTCCCGCGTCCTTCTGGGGTATCTGAAGGGGGTTCACGTATGCCTCAAACCAAGCTTGGAGTCTTCCCTGTTCTTCTTTTTCCTGCTTTGCTCTCAGCTGCTCATGCCTGCCGCCCCCAGGCTCCTGAGAAAAGCTGCCTGGTGCCGCTGTCCCCAGACACCCGTGCCATGCCCAGGTTTTGGTCCGCAGGTGCCTGCAGAGCTCCAGCCTGTGAGCTGCCCAAGGGCCTCAGGGCAGGGCTGAGGCTCCATGACAACTTCACCAGCCCCAACCCCTCCCTTGAAATAAACACATGCATAAATCCTTTCTCCGTGTATTTAGCGAACAAGTACCAAATACAAGGTCCTAGTGGGTAAGACAGAAACTGTGTAAATCATCACGGGAATAATTGTTTAATTTCTGGCTGATAAACACCACAAAGTGCTGAGCACTCCCAGCTGAGCCTCTGCCTCAGGGCCTTTGCACGTGCTATTCCCTTTGCCTGGACTGCTCATCCCCAGGTATCCACAAGGCTCACCTCTTTACCTTGCTCCATTAAAAATTACAGCCCCACGTTCCCTCTCCCTCCCCCGCTCATTTTTCTCCATAGCCCTCGTCACACCTCAAACCTACATTTTCCAGTTATTATTGCTGGAACATTCTTTACTTGTCTGTCGACTGCCTGTACCCCTGGGGGAGTGTAGGTTCACAGGGCAGGTATTTTTGTCTGTCTTGTTGACTGGTCTGTCTCCAGTGCCTAGAAAATTGCCCAGTACAGAATAGCCGCTCAGTAAATGTTTGTTGAATGAATGAATTACCTAACGGAGGATGTGACCTCAGCTAATCGGGGGCTGGGGAAGAGAGTGTCAGGGGACATTGTCCCACCACTGGGGACAGATGCAGGTTTTGTGGGACTGTCTTTAAGAAAAAGAATATACATAACCGTTACATGTCCGGCGTTAGGGCAAGACACCAAAAGCCAGACTGGCGTCAAGGAAGGGAAAGCATTCCAGGCAGAAGGAACAGCTTGTGGGAAGGCTGGTGGTGACTGAGAGCCAGAGAAAGACGGGGAGAAGGTTGGCGTGGACACAGCTTTGCTGGGCATCCAAAGGGGCTGCAGAGCCACCGCGCACCGGCCAGGAAATGACACGGTGTGACACAACCGGCGCCCTGGTTTCTGCGGGATCCCAGGGAGATTGCCCGGACAGATGACCTTTGGGTCCCAGCGGGACAGAGCCCTGTGCCAGCCACCACTTTCCCACTCCTTCCATTGACCAAGCGGAGGGTGTCCCCAGCGGCAGCCTTCCCTGTCAGCCTCCAGGAATGTGCCTCCCTGCCTTGAGGTCCCCGCTCACCCCTAACCCACCTGGAAAGCTCCCTCGAGGCTGCCTGGGGAGGCTCCCTTTCCCTCCCTCCCTCCCGCCCTCCCCAGGCTCCGCTCAGAATAAAAGCTGGGGCCCTGGCTGGGGACATGTGCCCTGGCCCCAAGCCACTGCCAGCCATTTGCATCACAAATGAGACTCAGGCTGTTGGGCTCCAGCCAGCCGGCCTGGTGCTGCCCTCGGTGACTTAAGGACACGAGCCAGGATCCAGCTGCTGCCCCCGCTGCCCCCTCCCCCAGCTGCCTCACCACACCCTCCGGGGAGTCGCGGGCTCTCCAGCCTGCTCGGGATCCTCCGGACCAGACAGCCCTCCTCAGCAGCCGGCCAAGGAGGGCTCCCGAATGTCAGGGGGGCTCAGGACTTGACATCTTTTAGCTCTCATGCCAGGCCTCTTTACAGAGGAGGGATCTGAGGCTCCAAGAGCGGGACTGATATGCCCAAGGCTGCTCAGCTAATAGCCCACAGAGTAGGGACTGGAACCCATGGCATTCTGCTCTAGAAACTGCACTGTGGATGTGGGCCACCCCTCGAGGCTCCTCTGTGTCTGTCCACTGCGCAGTGAGCACCAGTAGCTGAGTGCTGGGTGAGTCAATGACCGTCTTAGCACGGGCCTTTCTCTCCTGCATGGTCAGGGAGGGGGCGAGCTGCCTCTCCTTCTAGACTGTGAGCCCGTGAGGTCGGGGCACTGCCCATGCCCACTTACGGTTCTAGCATGCAGCAAACGCTCAATACGTCTTTCTTTCTTTCTTTCTTTTTTTTTTTTTTTAAGATTTTATTTATTTATTTGACAGAGAAAGAGAGAAAGAGAGCACAAGCAGGGGGAGAGGCAGAGGCAGAGGGAGAAGCAGGCTTCCCGCTGAGCAGGGAGCCCGATGTGGGGCTCTATCCCAGGACCCTGGGATCATGACCTGAGCCGAAGGCAGCCGCTTAACTGACTGAGCCACCCAGGCGCCCCTCAATAAGTGTTTCTGAAGTAAACCATCGAGAAAATCAATCCACAAACTTTGTTTTGAGCCCTGGTGTGCTTTCCCCCTGCAGGTTCTTTCCAAGGCAGAGGTGGATCATGTCCACCTCAGGTTCCCCAGGGCTGAGCACGTGGTCTGGCCCTCCGTGGGGGTGCTGGAAGGTTCTCTGAGGTTTGTGAGTGACTTAATTGCCGTAGGCTGGCTGGGGCTCCTGCCTCAGCTCCCCTGTCTCTTCCTGGCTTGTCCCCTGGGGTTCTTCCCCACCCCAGGGCCTTTGCTCATGCTGTCCTCCTGCCTGGATGTGTCCCAGCAGTGGCTGCTTTTCCTCCTGTAGGATTGGCTTCATTGTCACCTCCTCAGAGGGGTCCCCGTGGCTGCCCCATCTAGCTGGAACCCTTGGATATTCTCTATCCCTACCCAGTCTGTCTCCGGAGCCCTGAGCATGCCCTCTGGTTGCTTTTTATTTGTTTTCTTGGATTGGCCTGTGTCCCCTTCCTAATAAAAGGGGGAGACAGATGCAGACACAGAGAAAAGCAGAACATGTGTGAGGGCGACAGCATGACTCACAAGCAGAGACATGAACAGAAACTGAAAGAAAAGCAGGAACAGAGTCGCAGAGAGAGAGGAAACCAGAGAAAGTGCCATGGTGGGGGACGGGGAGGGGAACAGGGGCTGTCCTTCTGGGGTGATAGAGATGTTCTGGGACTTGGTGCACAGGTGCACAACTGTGTGCATACTCCCAGCCACAGAATTGTGTGTGTGTAAAAGGGTGCATTTTATGGAATGTGAATTATCTCTCATTTTAAAACACAAGAGAACCTCAGATAAATCCAAATTGAAGTACAACCTACAAAATACAGGAATGACCCTCTTCAAACACAGCAAGGCCATGAAAGAACAGAAAGGAGTGGAAAGCCTCCCCAGGCCAAGATGACCAAAGGCTTGGGTATCCCTGAACAGAAAGGGGACGTGAGGGGGGAAATTGGTGAACTCCAAATAAAGTCTATAGTCAATGGTACTGCATCGATGTGAATGTCTGGGTTCTGACGATTGTGCTATTATGTAGGGCATTGCTATTAGGAGAAGCTGGGGGACGGGGATATGCACATTTTCTACAAGTCTAAAATACAAAGCTAAGACAAAGAAGACAGAAATGACAGAGAGCTGCAGGGGACAGGGAGCTGCCTTGTCCCGCTGGCCCAGCAGGGACCACCAGCCCAGGCCTCTGCAAAATTAAAGCCTGGCCTCGGGGGAGGGGCGGGTGGCCCAGCCTGGGGTTGGTTTCCCCATTATCGCCAGAAAGACTGCTGAAAATTCAGGGTGACAGCTCTCATTCATCTAAGGGGTTCAGCCGTGGTTGGGGCAGCCCTGGGGGCTCCCTTCCACCTACCCGTGATTGTGTCTGAATGTATCTGCTGCCGCCCATGCCCTTCATCCCCCAGTCCTGGGTACCTACCAACAGGCTCCTGCAAAGCTCCAGGGGGGGTCCTTCTGCAGGAGAAAAAAAACCACCTGATCTCACTTTCCTATGAAAGTAGCCAAATGGGAGCCCCATGCTACGGTTGGGGCCGTGTCATGTCGTTCCCGGCACAGGACATACAGATCTGCTTTCTGTCCCCCTTGCTGGCCTCTGGGCTCCTGAAGGGAAAATGCTTGGTTCTGTTTCCCTGGAACACAGCCCTGGGCCAGGCATGTAGTAGGTGCTCAATTAAGGCTTGTGCATTTCTGAGGCACCTGACTCACAGGGTGGTAGTAAAAGAATAGATACTTTCTAATCCGGTGGCTTACAAGCTTTTAAAAGTGGTGAAATCTTTCAAAATTGAAAAGGTACGGAATGCTTCAGAAAAGAATGAAATCTCCACCACCGCCACCTCGAATTAAACATAAATTCTGCTATAACTCCCACCCCACCCCCTCACCTGCCCAGAGCCAGCCTCTGGGGAAGAGAAGGTGGGAGCCTCAGCCTCCTGCCCTGGTCTTTACCCAAACATTGATGGTGACTGTCCACTTACAGCATTGTTTTGTGCGTGTCGTTCTAACTTGTATGCGAGCCGCCTTGTGCTGTGTGCGGGGCTCTGATGTTGAGTTTTCCTCTTGACAGCAGGTTGAGGTCGTAGAGAGGAATCCATCCTTGTAAGGAACAGCCCCCACCCGCATCGCCTACCCCCTCCCACCCTGGGGGGGCATCCCCCCCACGTCACGGGTGTGCAGCCTTGGTAGTCACGCGAGGCTCAGAAGGGCCCTGCACCGGGTTTAACACTCTGCTGTCTCCATCTTGAAAGTCTTAGTTTCTTTTGAGCAAGGGGCCCCACATTCTCATTTTGACTGGGCCTTGTCAATCTGACAACATGGAGCACTGACTGAGCCCTCGTCCTGCGCCAGACCCTGTTCTAGGCCATCTGGTGGCACGAACGTCACCCTTGAATCCTCCCCAAGGCTCTCTGAAAGGTGCAGTTTCCATCAGCCCATTCTGCAGATGGGGAAACTGAGGTTCAGAGAGCTCCTGACTCTGGTGCCCCTGCCTGAACCACCATGGGACAGCCCCTTTGAAGATCAAATCTGGTCCAGGTCCCTTTCTCTTAAACCAAGGTGCAGAGAGGGTAAGGCTCGCTCACATGGACAGGCCTGGGGAAGCACAGCCAGCTTCTGGGCCACCATCAGCCAGGAGCCGGAGGCCCCCGGGCCCGGCGGCTGAATTCATTTCACACATTTCCTCTCCAGTGGGGACTGTCTCAGTGAGCAACCCCCAGGGTGTTAGAGCAGCCTCTTCCTCTGAGACCTGCCTTCTATAATTAGCTGCTAGGCCTCACCGGCTTAGCCAGGCCCCAGCTGAGGAGGGCTGGGCCTGCGGCTGCTTCCGGCCAATAGGTTTCCACGCTCTTCCCCAAGAACCCCAGAAAGCCTGGGGGCAGGGCTATGTGTGTTTGGGGGGCGGTGCTCAGGGCCCGAGGCCCACAGAAGGGGCCCTCTCTGGCTTCCCTGGCAGGCTCTCCCCCTACCTTCGCAGTCATGGGGGCAGACAGGATCCATTTCTAGAAGCCGAGAGAAGCCCACCCACCTCATTTGTTCACTCGCGGAACTCGGGTTTCCCGAGTGTCTTCTGTGTGTCCGGAGCTGTTCTGCCCCATGGAGCTGAGACATAAGTAAACGCATCCATAAACGAAAAACAGAAACAGAGTGACTTAAGGAAAGGCAAAGAGGTTGATAAATTAGGGAGATGGATGGAACAGGGGGGAATGGGTGGGGCTCACTCCAGCAGCACGGTTGGGGGCCCCCAGGGTGTGAAGGGCCTGGAATGGGACAAGAGATTCGCAGGTGACCAAAGGCGGAGGGGACGGCAGGTGCCTGGGTTGTGGGCAGGGCAAGTTGGAGAGAGAGGTGGCTGAGGTCCAGCAGGTCCCCCCGCTGTGGGTCACCAAGACAGGGGCTGGGCTCCAAAGATCCCAAAGATCGGAGGAAGCCACCAGACAGAGGACACTAGCTTTGTTTTGCCAGAGTCTAGAGCAGGGGTCCTCCAATAGGGGCGGTTCTGCTCCCCAGGGGACACCGGGCGGTCTGAAAATGTTTTCGGTGTCACAACTGGGGTGGGGGTGCTCCTGGCATCGAGAGGGTGGAAGTCAGGGACGCTGCTCACCACCCTGAGGTGCCCAGAATGTCCCCAAGTGTCAGCGGCAGGAGGCTGGCCAAGGAGGTGGTGACTAAGGTGACAGTGGAGGAGGAGGAGAGAGGAGGGGGGTTTGGGGTGTGCTCTCAAGGCAGAGTAGACAGGACAAGGCAACATCTGTGGGCAACAAGCACACTGTGCAGAAGGAACGTCATAGGGAACGGCCCACAAGGAGAGGTGGGGAGAGGCCCCTGGTGGCAGGTGACAAGCCGCAGAGGCCTCCCTGGAGAGCCTGGGGGGAGATCTGTGGGGAGACGGGGGCAGGTGCACAGGCAGATGGAAAAGGATTTTGAATTTGGGTGAAGAGGTGGGATGATGCAGGTGGGGGTCACATCCTGCCTGGCTTCGTGGGCCCAGAAGAGGACTTTCACTGGCAGCCTCTAAATGCAAATGTATTCAGAGCACTGGACGGGGCGGCGGGGCTGGGAGGGGGTGTCCAGACACTGGGTTTCAGCTTGAATTGAGACTAACTGGCCAAGTGACTTTGGAAAAATTACCCTTTGGGGGCCCCAGTTCCCTCTCTGTCCATGCTTCCATGCTGTCCCCCAAGGGGGCTTCTGGACATGGTCAGTGTGGTGCTTGGTATTGGGACTTAGGATGTGCATGGGATGGGGATGTGACTTCTCATTCTGCTAAGTGTTTAGGAGTGACCCCCGAGAGTTGTAACCTCAAGTCGCAAGTGTGGGTGACCCCCAGGAACCAGGCAGGGGGTCTTTAACCAGCTCAGGCATCATTGCCAAGTGGGCACGTGTCTGCAGGACTGTTCCAGGGCGATCTCCAACAGCGCCCCCCCATGTGGTGGCATGATGCCGTTACAGCAGTGAAGTTTGGTGGGGAACCAGCTGCACCCCCTCCTGTTGAGGATGATTTTGGCATCCTTGGTTGATTCCAGGTGACGAAGGACCCAAGAAGGAGTTCTGGGTATCTTGATAATATAGCACCAGAAGCCTAAGTGATCAAAGAATAAAGAGAGTCATCACCTTGTCACGACTTGGTGGAGGGGTTTATTCTGACCCTATAGTTTGGAAGGACAGTTTCTCAGGACCCAGGGATTCCTGGGAGAGCCGGGAGGGGGGTGCAGTAGGGTAGCGGTCAAAGGTACAGGAATGGTGTCTGTTACCCTTCTGTCTCAATGGCTGGCTTGTTGCTCTAAGAATGCAATAAATTCTTCTGGTCCCCCGTTTCTTCCTCCCCCAGCCTCGGTGCCTGCAACCCCAGTCCCAGGAAAGGATTTCCTCAGTCGGGGAGGCTCTGAAGACACTCAGGTGAAGGGAAGGCAGGGGATGGGGTGGGGGGTGGGTAGAGGTTTTCACTGCCACCCCAAGCTACAATCTCTCCTGTCTCTCTTTCCTGCTCAGAAGATGCTTACAAATGTGCACCTGACAAGGTACTGTCACAGATGTCACTTGAGAAACATTCAAAGGAGGCCACCAAACCACTTATCCCTGAGGAAACAATAGACAGCTGTCACATGGAAGAATGCACGGACTTACAGGCAAAGAAAGAAATGCAGACAAAACCCCTCTCCATTTTGATCAAATTAGGAAACAACTATAAAATGATAAAACCCAGTGCTGACAGGGATGTGGAGAAAATGACACATTGGCTTTGCTGTAAACACATTCTGATTTGAAAAGTCAATCTCCGTGCCAGAAATAAGTGCTGTAAAACTGCACAGGCCTTCTGACCCAGCATTTGGTCCTCAGGTACAAAAACATTTATAGTTGCCTTATTTAAAAGTGGGGGGTGGAAAAAACAAAGACCAAAAGCCCCGGATGCCCTGGGCTAACATTTGTGGGGTGCTCACACTATTTGAAATGCTGAACGTGTTATTTCTTCTTTAATCCTTGGAGAGTTGTGTGTTTTATTAGCCCCCATATCACAGATGAAGACCTGGGAGCACACAGAGTCCGGCCCCGTCTCCGTGGTCACTCAGGCGGTCAGCAGCAGAGCTGAGGTTTGAGCCCAGGCTTCCCCGCCTGCAACCTGCGGGGGGGGGGGGGCACTCCACACCGCTGTTCTATAGCACGAAGGCGGAATTGTCCACCAAAGAGAAGGTGACATGCCACTCCTTGGGGGTGCGCTGTCACCAGGATGTGACTGGAAGAAAAAAAGGGCTTCTTTCTGCTTCTGCCTGGTGATAAATATAAGCCCGCTGCCTGGCAGGCATGCCCCAGCCTGTGGTTCTGGAATGTGGGCAAGCCACCCACCTGGAGACCTGCCGTTGGTAGCTGGTCTTGAGGCAGCCAGTCCCAGCCCACAGACCTGGCCAGCAAACCCACTGTGTGTTTGGTCAAGCCAGCACCTTCACGCCGCCTTCATGGGAGTCGAGCCGTTGAGCTGATGCCTAGAACCTCTCAGGGTTGCCCCTGGGCAGAAACGCCAGCAGCCTCGTGGTTGGAGGTGCTGGATGGATGGTGACGGTCTAGGCAACTCTGGCTTCAAGGAGATCACGACATTTTGGAGATGAACGTGGCACAGGGCAGAGCTTGGAGATCCTCTGCCTCCTGAGCAGGCGATGGGAGGAGACACAGCCTGGTGGCAGGTTCGAGGCTGGTGTGAGTGTTGACATGCCTCAAACTCTCAGGGAACCGTGGCTCCTGTTCTTGGGGCCCGGCCTCCCATCTCTAAAGAACGGGGCCAGCGCAGATGGGTAAACGTGGGACCCCGGCTGCTGCGGGGTGGGCAGGGGTCTCAGGGAGGAAGCCCTTCCCTTTCGACGGCTTTTCTGTCCTTCTCAGTTCGGCTTGACTCTCGGCGCGTCTCCATGGCTGGCCGGCCCTTCCGATCCCCCTTCACGTCAGAGCGTGAGCAGCCTCAGGCTCAGGGCCATGGGCAGGCAGCAGGACTTACTACGTGGTTTCTCTTCCCTGTGCTCATTTTCAGGGCTATCTTCTATTAGTGGCAGGTGATACTTGTTTCCCATTGACATCGGTGTTAGAGAATTTCCTTCTGAAATAAACTAATTTAGGTAAAAAAAAAAAATAAGGCGAGTCATTCTAAATATAAATATGAAGCAGATGACAGGTCAGAGGGTGGTGGTCAGAGTCCTAGAGCTGGTCTCAAGTCTGGGACCCACAGGCAAGGGCCCTTCTTGGCCCCCTGCAAGATCAGCCCCGATGGTGTGGGTCTCACCAGCCTGGCCCCTCTTGGCCTCTCCCCAGTCCCCAGTGTCTGGGGCCTAGCGTTTGCTCCCCACCTCTGCAGGGTGCTGTCTCCTGCACTGGGCCTGGGTATGAAGCAAAGGGTCCTAGGCTCAAATCCTTGCTCGATAGCAGCTGTGTGACCTAGGATGGCTGTCTCAGCTTCTCTGGGCTTTGCTCTTTGTCTGCACACAGTTAACAGCCCTTTCTTCCAAGGATAGCACGAGCGTTCCAGGCGGTGATGGTTGGCACAGAACCTGGCATTCAGCAAACCTCCGGCTATTGCTGCCTATCCCACTTAATGAACGGGCCAACCGAGGCCCAGAAGATGCTCGAGGTCACAGAGCCTCTAGATTCAAAGGCAGGCCTCCGTGACTCTGAGTCTCCGCCCGGGGGGGGGGGGGGGGGGGGGGGGGGGCGGGGACGAGCCCGCCCTGCTTGGCCGGTTCCCGGGCCTGCTCCCGCGCCCTGCTTCCCTCCCTTTGTCCTGCTGTCACCAGCTGTCTGGGAGCAGGTGGTGTTGCACTGGTGCCGGGCGGAGGTCGAGGCGGGTAACACACGGGTTGCTATTTGCTTTCCTCTCCATGGCCCCTTCCCGGGCTGGGCAGACGTGGGCGTGGGGCCAGGTGTGTGGGCGCGGCGGACCCGGATGTCTGCTCCCCGGTCTGAGCTACCAGTGGTGCCCCGAGCCCCTGAGTGGGCCAACTCTAGGGCAAGTGACCGACCATCTTAGTGCCTGGACTGAGGGGTTTCCCGGGAAACAGGACTTGCCGTGCTGGACAGGGCGAGTCCCAGGCACAAGAGGGCACACTGGTCCCCCGTTCTGCAAGAGGCCATGCATGAGGAGCAGTGGGTGGGATGGCAGGCAGAAAGGGGGCAGGATCAGCCACCCCCAGGGACATTGTGCTGCTCCCCTCTGGCCCTGCTGCCTTGCTGTGGGGAGGGGAGCGGGGGGCAGTCTCTGCTGGCACTGGCTTTGACGTAAGGCAGAGCTGAGGGAGGAATTCTGGCCTATCCCATATTAATGACACAGCACGTCATTTCCACGCTCAGAACCTCAGTTCCTCATCTGTAAAATGGGGATAAGCATTCCATTGCCCTCACAGGGATGCCGGGGAATCAGATGAGAAAATGAACATACAGCACTTAGCAAAGTGTAGACATCTCCTCCATGACAGCACATATGATTAGATTAGATGTCTACTTAAAATGCAGCCTCCCACTACTCTTGGAATAAATCCCGCCCCCGCCCCCCCCGACATGAACCTTTGAAGCTCCTGTGATCGTGACCTGTGCCTGCAACTTCTGCCCCAGCCAAGCTGGCCTCCTGGCTGGCCTAGGCCTGACCATGCTTCTCCCTCCCTCAGGGCCTTTGCACGTGCTATTTCCGCTGCCTGCAACACCACCTCTGTTTTTCCCAGGACTGGCTCCTTCTCATCTTTTGGCCTCAGTTTAAAGATTGTCTGCACAGAGAGACCTTCTCTGTGTACCTTACTTGATAGGGTGTTTGTTCTCTTGGGGACAAGCCATTTCTTAGCTGGTTCACTGTGGTTGCCCCAAGCCAAGGATGATGCGCAGCCCAGAGCTGAGCTCAGGACGTGTTTTTGTGAATAAAGTGCATTGGCCTGTGGAGGTCCCCACAGGGTTGGAGGAAGAGCCCGGAGTCCTAAATCCCTTTCCTTCTGCGATCCTTGGCTTCCTCATCTGTCAGCAGGGACGCGGGGGGCGCGTCCAACTCCTTGGGGCCTGAGAGGCATGGACGAAGTGACAAAGACGGACCTGTCCTTCCACGGCGGCCACACGCAGTAGGACCCTGAGGCTGGCGGTCCCGCCGGTGGTGACCTCACTGGCACCCCCCCACGCCCACGTTCCTCCCCGCATCCTTGGGGGATATGCACTGCACACACCACACGCCGCTCCGGAAACGGAGGCCCACAGTGGGTGCTCCCTGCCTGGCCCCCCTACACCGAGGGGGGAGCCCCGAGCCTGCTGCCTGAGCTCACCGGCCCGGTGGGCGGCTGACGCCCCACGTGCCCCCGGCCCTCCGGGACAGGCTTCTCGCGGAGACTCCAGAACATTGTCAAAGCTGTCAAACAATTTCCCTGCCAGGTTTTTACAAGAATGCAAGGCCTCGCCGCCCGATGCCAAACACCCTCTTAAGACAATACCTCCGGGGCCTGTGGGCCCGTCTGAGCACCGCCGCCTCGCCTCGGCCATATATAGGCAAAAGCTGGGGAATCCCTCTCCCATCCCCTGGGCTGGGATCCCAGGGAGGCCGCCACAGCCTCGGGACCCTCGGGATCTCGTGCCTCCCAGACTGACCGCCTCTGGCCCGGCGGTAGGGGGAGTGGGGGGAGAGTGGGGGGCCCGGGGAGGAGGCCACGTGGGCGGGAGCGGGTGGCGGGCCCGGCGGTGCCCCGGCAGCTGGAGCCCGAGTGGCAGGGCCAGCGCGGGCTCTGACCAAATAAGGCCCGGGCAGCGGGGCCTGGACAGGCTCACGGGCGGCAGCGGGCTTGTCTGCTCCCCGCTTCCTCCTGCCGCGCTCTCCTGCCCGCCGACCGGCCTGCACAGGCTCCCACACCCGGAGCAGAGCCAGTGGGCCGTTCAGCACCCTCCGGGAGAGGAGCCTCCATTTAGGACCCTTGGAATGTTCTATTTGGAAACTTCAGGAGCCCCATTTAGAATCTTGAGAGTAAAAATTTCTGGAATTCCGGCTCCAGCTACGGGAGCCCCCCCGCTGGGCCCGAGGGGTGGCCTGCCCTCCCCGCGCGCACCCCCACCCCCGCCCCCATGGGTGTTTGCTGGTTCACGTCCCCTGTGGGTCACCAGTTACACCTTGTAGTCCTTCCTGGTCTGTGAGGTCAAAGGGCGAGGCCAGTCAAGGGGCTAGGGTGGGGGCCCCGGCGACTCCGGAACAAACTGACCCCCGCCCCACCTGCACCCGTGGTGAGGTGGTGGTGTGAGCCCTGGAGGGAGGACTCCATCCCTATGAGCAAGCACCCTGCGGGCGGGGACCCGGAAGAGGGGGTAAATCCGCTGTGTGTGTCGAGGGGGCCGGGGGACTTGTCATATTTCAGGAGCCACTGTGGAATGTGGAGCTCCTGAGTCTCCCCGCCTTGGTTCCAGCAAGCAACTTCTCTTCTTGGAACCTCAGTTTTCCCATCCTTAAAATGGGTATAATGCCAACCCTACGTCAGGGGTGGCTTCGGGGATTCAATGGGATAAGGTGTGGAGGGCTTAAGTGGGATTCTGGGCCAGGGAGGGGATGCCTCCTTTCCTGGGAGACTGGGGGTGGCAGGGGCTCTCTCTCTGTCCCTGACACCCCCTCCCCAGCTTTGTACCCCCTCCACTTTCTCAGTAGCCTGGGTGTGCTGGAGTGGCACTTTGAGGTCTCCTGATCAGGAAGCCTGTGGCCTGGTGTGACCAGCTGTTGCATGTGTGAGCCCGCGTGAGTGCGGGTGAGTGTGTGCAGCCCTCATGAGCCCAGCTGTGCAATCAAGGACATCTGCAGAGAGGGGACTGGGGGGCACCTGGGTCCCTACTGTGGGCATGAGGAGGCCAGGGATAGTCAGCGTTTCTCTGCTGCCTGCTTCTGAAGCCTCTCCATAAGATCTGAGAATCTCAGGGGCATGGGCTCACCTGCTGGGCCTCAGAACCCCTCTTCCCGGATTGGCTACAGAATTTGGGGCCCAGTGCAAAATTAAAATGTGCAGCCCCTATTCAAAGTGTAGCAAGACTTATGAGACGGCAACAGCAGAGCATTAAACCAAGCGTGGGGCCCTTCTGAGCATGGGGGCGCGTGCATGACCGCCTGGGCCCTCTGCCCTCCCTCTCACTGGCAGCTTGGGCGTGTGGCCTTGGCCAGGCCCACTGGACACTTCAGCCCGGCTGTGCTGGTCGGATCAGCCAGAAGGGTCTGTAAAGTCTGTGAAATTGACCCCCGTCCCCCCAGTCACAGCCGCAGCCAGGAGCTCTGCTCCGAATAAACATGCTCTCCCAGCTGTTCTGTTTAAGCCCAGACTGAGCTTTGCTCCCACGGACCGGAGGTGAGTGTGTGCCGCTCCCGCTGTTAGCCTAGTGGGTGCTGGCCGGGACACTGCGGGCAGGGCCGTCTGTGAGCTGCACACCCCCTGGGTGGCCGGGATGGCCTCCATTGGATGGGGCAGGCTGGCAGAGCGGGGGAGCCCTGGAGGTGGAGGGCAGGAAGGGGGCCCAGATGTCCTGAGAGCCCAGAGCCTCTCGGCGCAGGAAAAGGAGGCTGCCACCTGGGGGCTCCTGCAAGGGGTTTGGGGCTCCCCTGGTGGCTGCCACCTTTGTTGCTGGCCCTGGGGGTACTGGAGGCACCCCCACCTCTCTGGAAAGTTCTCTATGATCTCCAGAAACCACCCACCTGGTGCTTGAACGCGTGCACTGGGAACTCGTGGCTACTCTGTTGGAACCTCAGGGATTCCGCTCAGAACCTTCTGGATTGCCCCCTCAGGGTAGGGAGTGGGCTTGGCTTGCTCAAGGAGTCTCTCAGAGCCTGGCACAGCACTGGCACAGAAGGGAAGAGCCATCAGCTTCCTGCGGGGGTAGAGGAAAGCGGGACGTTTCTCAGCCAACAGCACAGAACCAGGAGTTGGTGTTCCTCAAAATCCTCCCCTGAGGCTGGGATCATAACCCATGTGGCAACTAGTCCTTCAACATTTCATTTTAATAGAAAGCTTCTCATGCACTTGCCTATTTTTTGATGTAGGAGAAAGAACTTTTATCCAAGGGTCTGGGGGCTCTGCTGACA